CCTAATAATATTCAGTGCAGATTTGAGGCAATGAATTGATTTAATTGTAGGGCTCATTTGAGCCCCTAGCATGTCTTTCTGTATGCACAACTTTTTTTTTCTAAACTGGTTGAGTTTAACAATGTAATAACTTTGCCCAGACCCACATAGCCATTTTCTTCCCAGAGAATCAATGTAATTTGCATGTGTTATTTGGCCACAGGACATCCTAGAGCAGTGCAGCTCTTGTTGATTTTGCGGAGCTGCTGATCGCCTTGTTTGAGAAGTCAGGGCCCAGGAGGGCAGCCAGGATGATGCAGGGCTTGTCAATTTCCAGGTGAATTCAGCAGGCAAATGGGAGCGGCAGGTGCTGGTCAGCTTGGGTTTCAACCTCATCCTTCACACGTGCCAGCTTTGAGACTTTGGCAAGTTACTTCAGCTTTCTGTGCCTTGTTTTCCCCACCTATAAAATGGGATAATAATACACTCTACTTCATAGGATTCTTTTGACTCATAAATGAATTATTAAGCATTAAACACTCCAAACACTGCTTAGTTCATTGTTAGTATTATTTATTATGCTCCAAGTGGTATTTGGACGTCTTAAATGAGAATCACCAAAAGCAGGGCTTCTCAAACTTTAATGTAAATATAAAACACCTAGAGATCTTGTTTAAGTACACATTCCGATTTAATAGGTTGAAGGGCGGGCCTGGGAGTCTGCATTGGCAGGTGCAGAGCTATCGCAGTTGATAGCCGAGATGCTGTTTGAAGACCTTGCTTTGAGGTTCAAGGACTTTGAGAACTTAGAGTAAAATTGCAGATTCCCAGGCCCCAACCCAGACTGTTGGTTTCAGGACCTCTAAGGGTGGGTCCCAGGATCCAAGTGTTTAACGAGCCTCCTAGGTGATTCAAATACACCAAAGCTTGACAGGCTAGAATGAGGAAGATGTGGCTTGTTCATAACCTTTGTGGGAGAGAATGAGTCATTCTGTGTTTAGGACTTAGGTTTCTCCTTCTCTCCTTTCATTTTCCATCTTCTCTTTCTTCATTCCTCCCAGACCAGGCAGCATAGCTCAGTGGTTAGAGCGTCTCCTCTGGATTTGCCTCGCGATCTCACCATTAGCAGTGATACCTCTATGGAGGCATGTGCTCTATGAGAGGACTGTGAAAGGGAATCCAAGGGTTGATTTGGGAAGCTGGCAGTCATCAGCCAAGTCCTGACCGTTTTGGGCTGACTGCTGCAGAGGCTGCAGGTCAGAGTGTATCATCGTATATGTTCTGGCCACTGGCTTTGGACAGTAGTAGTATGTGTGGGTGTTTGTTCTCCTCTGGATGACAAACAGCTCAACAACAGGGCCCTTTATTGCTCCTCTTGGGCCTTCCCCAGCACAAGACTTGACATCTGGGCTCATCAATGCTTCCTGAATGAGTGAATGAAAGACATGCTGCAGCCACTGAGTCATGTACCACTGAGCTATTGTGAGCTGAAAGGAACTCAATGGTTCATAAACACTGGCTTTGACCACCTTCGCTCAATTCAAGTCAGCAAATAATAGTGATCATGTATCTTGCATCAGGGCCCATATCCGAGGCCACAGAAAGGCCTGTGGGGGCAGCCAGATCAGATAATTATAATTTCTCTGTAAGTTTTCCTATGCCTCGCTTATATTTGAAGCGTGATTACAGTGGAATGAAACTGGCCATTCAATCAGTATTTGTAAAATAAAAACGAAATCAGCTCTACATGCTGTCATTTCCAAGATTACGTGTGTGGAGGTACTCTTGTTTTATCTTCACAACCACATTATGAGGTAGGTATTATTATCATCCCCATTTTACTGATGAGCAAACTGAGGCTCTGAGAAGATAAGTAACATATCTGACACCTGGCAGTGGGGAACTTGAACCCGGGTCTGGAACTCTGCCTGTTCCACAAGCTGGAGGTGGGGCATAGGAAGCGGGTCGTGGACGGACTTGGGCAAGAAAAATAGAGCTGCAGTTCCCCTGAGAAAAGAGGAGGGATGCTGGTTATCGGGACACAGCTGAGCTCACCACACCACATCCCCTCCTCCAGGCATGCACAGCATCATGGGAGGGGGCTGGTCTGTCACACCCTCAACACTGAGACCCATCAATGAGAAGAATTTCCTGAGTTTATAAAAAGCAACAGATTAGGCAGCCTCCTGAGTGAATCGATCGCTAAGCTGAATCTTACTTAACTCCTAGCTTTAAAATAATCAGCAGGAAGGAGAACAAAAAGCCACAAGTGTGTTTACACACAGGCACCCCTCTCTGCAGGCCCTAAATAGAGGTTCAAATCAAGGCAGCCTTTCCTGTGGGCGTGGGTGCCGGCACAGGAGCCAGCTTTGCACTTAGTGCAGACTGGACAGCCACATAGTTTAGCAGGGGCAGCATTGACAGAAACCAGAGAGCTGTAAATGCCACACTGGGATGGCTGGGCCACATGTGCTGTTAACCAGACAGTCTTGTTCCACGGCTGGAGCCTGAGCACATTTTAGGCCCTGGTGGCTGGCAGCACCCTGTGAGGACTGTTAACCACTTGGCTGAGACCCGCTGGGCAGATGCCTCTGAAATCTATGCTGGTCCGAATCCCACCTGGGGTATTTTGTGCTCTTAGGGACACCATAGTAATTGATGTACTATGCCTAAGATGGACTGAAACTGTCTGATATTGGAATAAATTCAATCTCACTGGTAATAAAAGCTAAGTGCATGAAAACGAGATGTCATTTTATTATAATTTTCCCTGGACATTTTATTATAATTTTTTTTTTTTTTTTTGAGATGGGTTCTTGCTCTGTCGCCCAGGCTGGAGAGCAGTGGTGCCATCTCGGCTCACTGCAAGCTCCGCCCCCCGGGTTCACACCATTCTCCTGCCTCAGCCTCCCAGGCAGCTGGGACTACAGGTGCCCACCACCACGCCTGGCTAATTGTTTGCATTTTTACTAGAGACAGGGTTTCACCGTGTTAGCCAGGATGGTCTCGATCTCCTGATCTCGTGATCCGCCCACCTCAGCCTCCCAAAGTGCTGGGATTACAGGCGTGAGCCACTGCGCCCGGCCATTTTATTATAATGTTTAGGTTGGCCAAGATTAAAAAAGATGACAGCTCTGTGGGCTAGAGGGTGGAGAGACAAGCCCTCTCCTACACTGATGAGGAGTATCAGGATTCTGCAGCAACACCTTTGAGTGGGCATAACCTTGGACTCAAACAATTTTCCTTATAGGCAATAACCTACGAAATAGTGGGATATACGACAAAGATCTATGTGCCAGGATATGTGTTGGGGGATTTGTATTTGGAGAAAATTAAATGTGCAATGAGAGGTGAGTAGTTAAATATATTTTGGTATATCCATAGAATGAAATTCCAGGCAGTCATAAAATGATGCTGGCTTTTATGTGTTGTTATGGAAAGATGTTCCAGGTATATAATTGGGTGGAAAATATAGGTTACAAAATAACATGTATAGTATGAGCTCATTTTTGTTAAAAAAAAAAAAAAACCCGAACTATCTGTATCTAGATGTGAAAAATGCATGGAAATATTAACAATAGTTATCTTTGGGTGATGGGGTTATGGATAAATCCCATGCTTTCTAACATTTTTTAAAGGGAAAGTGATAACTTGAATAACACAAATGGACTGTCTTTAGAGGCAAGAAACCAGGCTAGTAAGGCCTGCAAGAGGGTGGCATGGCAGCTGAAAGGAGGGTGCTGGGGTTACTGTAGGCCTGAGTGTAGCTTCTGCTCAGACAGGAATTGTCTGTGGGGCTCTGGGCAGGTGGTGCAAGCTCTCTGAACTTTGGTGTCCTTATCCGAAGAAGGGGGTCTGAGGATACCTACTTCACAGTTGTATTGTGAGGATTAAGTGGGATAATTTCTGTAAAGTACTTGGCACATGATAAGCATGCAATAAATCTTAATAATATATAAACATTCTATCAATATTGAATGCTAGCATTATCTACCTCTCTAAACACACACACACACACACACACACACACACACACACACATTAATCCGCATATCTAAAAGAGTGGACTTGTTTTCTTTTTCTTTTTAAAACCATTTTTAGAAACTGGTGTTTATTTTCTGTCAACCTTCTTTCCATGTTGCTTGTGCAAGAACAGTGTAAGGCCATTCAGTGGTTGGTCCTGCCCATTCAGTGGCCTGAGCAGGGGGAGTGGCAGACCAGTCTTCCGTGGCAGGCTGAGCACTCCAGTCTTGGGTAGGGAACTGCTGAATAGGCACAGAGGGCACCTGCATGCCGTCAGACCAGTCTGCAACCTCAGGCTGAGTAGCAGTGAACTCAGGGGCCGGAGCAGTGTCCATTCACCCTGAAATTCCTCCTTGTCACAGCCTTTTCAGCAGCAGCCTGCTCTTCTTTTTCAATCTCTTCAGGATCTCTGTAGAAGTAGAGATCAGGCATGACCTCCCACTGCTGTTTGCAGGCAATTGAGCCGCTGCATGGGCAGAATTTCCTGGGCCAGTATCCACATCAAGCCCACTGAGTGAGCTTCTTGTGGCATGGGATGGCAATGTCCACATGGCACGGTGGAGAATCTGTGTGACACAGAGCAATGGTAGGTAGGTTGTAACATAAGATGCCTCTGTGAGATACTGGTCGCTGGCCCTGCAATCACTAACCACAAGAACCCGTGGATCTGGGAAGGTTGCCTAGATCTGGCTAGTGAAGGTTCCAGGAGTGAAGTGGCCAGCAATAGGAGTGGCTCCAGTGGCAGCAGCACACTTCCGCACGGCCCTCTGGCCAGTGCTCCTGGAGGATATGACACTGGCATCAGCAGGGTTTTCTATGGCCACGATGGTGCGAGCCACCAGCAGAAGCTTCTCCCAGGTCCTCTTTAGATTCATGACGTAGATGCCGCCACTTTTCCTCTTACAGATGTGCTGTTCCATTTGGAAGTCAAGGTTGGTGCCATGTAAGTGGGTTCCTGCTGCAAGGAACTTAAGGACATCCTCCTCTTTCATTTGCAGGACATCAAGGGCTCTGGACCTTGTGAAAGTTTCCCTTTGAGTTATGACGGGAATCCAGAACAACACTCTGTGGACCCCCTCTGTGGGTAGCAGGGAAAGCGAGTAGACTTGTTTTCTAAAACTCCCAAAGACGGACTCCATAGACAGCGTCACAGGGAAACCAATGTCAGCTCCAAATTAAGAAGAATCTCCTAGTTATTCAAAGGTAAAAATGGGAGGCCCGTAGCTGGAGGTATTCCAGTAGCTCGTGGGTAAACAGATAGCAGATGTATGGGGGTGATATATGACAGTGAGATGATTGGGTTGACCTAGCCAGTGGCATCCCCTTCAGTCTCCACATTGAAGCCATTGGCAAAGGGGATGAGAAGCTGGCTCAGGGTCAGGCTACCTGGGGCCTCGCAGCAGCTCTGCCCCTTTCCTAGCAGGTGGGATGCCGGGAGTCCTCTCTCCTCTCAGTCCCAATATTCACAGGGCCAAAATAATTTCTGCTGTGCAGTTGTAAGAATTGGAAATAATGCAATCTAGCTCCTCCTTCTATTAGTGGTTTTGTTCTGAAAATAGTGGAGCTAGGACTTGAGCAAATATTCCTCCATTCACTCTTCTGTGCCTGCATTCATTCACTAGACAAATATCTATGGAGCTGTGTGCCCAGCTTCTGTAACAGGCAGGGCCCCTGGAAGGCTCCCAAGCTCCACAGACCTGCTGTCGAGGGTCTGCAAAATCCTGATCCCACTGTCAGGCTTTATTGTCGTGTTCTGCACGGGCACCAAAGGGCAGCGCTTGGTGATGATGAAGCTGGGCTCCTTGCCAGAAAGACAGCAGGAAGTTTTGCCGCGATGTGCAGCCTTCCTTGAACACAGAGAGGGAAACAAGAAAAACCCCATGGCCAATGTCATGATGTGGGAGTTATTCTGGCCATGCTAAGATAATGTGCCAGATAAAGGGCATCTCAAACTCGCCAGCTCTCCCTGCCTCTCCCCTCCTCCCTCCCATTCCCAAGCTATGAAGGTGGCAGGAGGAAGAGAGCTTGGAACCACGGGGACCCTGCTTGGGAGGGACTGTTCCTTCTGGACTTTCTGCCTCCGAAAATCTACTTCCATCTCAGCTCCAGCTCAGCTTCAGGTCTGTCACAGATGTCCCCAACCTTGGCCCATCTTCCCCATCCAGCAAACACAGTCACACTTTGACCACAGGCTTACCCCTGCATTATGACTGTGTGCAGGTGTGAGCTTGGCCTCCGCCACACCCAGGGTCCTCTTCAAAGTGGGGTGCGTGGAAAGAAAGTAGCAGTGCTGGGGACTTTATAACTTTGGTTTCACAGTCTTTTGCCTGTTTTATAATGTGTGGGATAGACTGGAAAAGTGGTATCCATGGCCAGGTGTGGTGGCTCACGCCTGTAATTCTAGTACTTTGGGAGGCCGAGGCAAGTGGATCACTTGAGGTCAAGAGTTCAAGACCAGCCTGGCCAACATGGTGAAACCCCATCTCTACTAAAAATACAAAAATTAGCCAGGCGCGGTGGTGGGAACCTGTAATCCCAGCTACTTGGGAGGCTGAGGCAGGAGAATCGCTTGAACCCAGGAGGCGGAGGTTGCAGTGAGCCGAGATCATGCCATTGCACTCCAGCCTGAGCTTCAGAGAGAGACTCTGTCTCAAGAAAAAAAAGAAAAAAAGTGGTATCCACAAGCAATTTATAAGTAAATACATATATAATTAATAATTTAAGTATTAATTAGGAATAAAAAGGAATGATCATTGCTTCTGAGCTGCTCCTGGTTCATCACACCAGGGGCAGCTCAGGAGCTATGGTCATTTCTTCCTTTTTATTCCTAATTAATAAATAGTACTTTGTTAATTATAACAACAGATACTATATTTTATAATTATATTTTATATCTTATAATAAAATATATTATTATGTGTAATTATGACTACATGGCTGGGCGCAGTGGCTCATACCTGTAATTCCAGCACTTTGGGAAGCTGAGCTGGGCAGGTCACTTGGAGGTCAGGAGTTCAAGACCATCCTGGCCAACATGGCGAAACCCCATCTCTACTAAAAATACAAAAATTAGCCGGGTGTGGTGGTAGGTCCCTGTAATTCCAGCTACTCAGGAGACTGAGACAGGAGAATTGCTTGAACCCAAGAGGCGGAGGTTTCAGTGAGCCGAGATCATGCCACTGCACTCCAGCCTGGGTGACAGAGTGAGACTCTGTCTCCAAAAAAAAAAAAAATTATGACTATATAATAACATAATTATTATTATATAATACCATAACAATAAATAATGCTGAATACATATTAATAATTGATACATATTAAAGGCGAGTGTTTAGCAGTTTTTAAAGTTAGGAATGCGTGATCAGATAATTCAGAGCCAACCATCAAAGACCAGGAGCAATGGTTAGGTTATTTACTGCTTTTCTCAGGGTTCTCTGAGCATAGCTTGCTCCTGGTTGGGGATCTTAAGTGTTTGCGAAATGAATGAATAAAAAAATCGGACTCCTGGTCTTTTGGGAGGCTGGAAGTAACTTGAAGGTTCATATGCATTGTGTCAACAGAAAAAAAAAATCACAAATTTATAAATTTAGAAAGGAGACTATTTCTTATAAAGGATTATAGCCTAGAAGGTGGCCATTCTGCCAGACTGGAAAACATTGCCTCTGGAAGAGGCCGGCCATTAGCAGGTACTTTGAGGGAGGGAAAGATGAGACAGGAATTCATGGATGGGTTGGCCAAGTAGACATATTCAACAAGTTACAGGAGGAGCTATGAACATTCATGAAAGGGGTTCTGATGTATGTATGAACAAACGTGTGTGTTATGTGTGCCTTATGTTCTCTTTGGGAAGGAGACAGTGTTTAAATGCATTCTAGTTAGGCCGTGTAGGTCCAAAGGTAAAGTAGGGCCTTGAAGGCACTCTGTGTGCAGCCTCTATAAACCGGCCAGAACCTGTTTACAGCTGGTGGTCTCTTATCAGGAGGAAGTACTGAAATCAGCCTCTGTCCAGTCAAAGCTGAAGCTGTGGCTTGCGGAACAGGGGGGCAGTTAGTCAGCATATGGCGTGAGTTGAAGTTGTTTAGTGTTGCCGATCTTGAGGTCAGTGCTTGTTCAGATGCTAGAGAAACCTTAGAGTCATTAGAACATGACTACAGTAGTTTCTTTAAGGATGGGGTTGTGTCACTTAACCCTTGCTTGGCTTGGCCTTAGATCCTGTTTATAATTTGGTACCTTATTGCCACAAAGAGTCCATTCGATCAGTCTTATGATCTCTATGTTCACATTAACGTTGGTCAGTTATTGTGTTCAAGCCACAAAAGGGAAGGGGTTTATAACAGGGTGGGTCTGACCTCCTGTCCCGTGATGGCCTGGAACTCAGTTTTTACAGTTTCTCTGAGGTTCTCTTGGCCAAGGGGGGTCTATTCAGTTGGTTGGGGGCCTTAGGATTTTATTTTTAGTTCTTAGTTGAGATGGAATAGTCCACCTTGCCTCAATTCAAAAAACAAATATCAGTGATCACTGTCTGTGTGCTATGTTCCACATTCTGAGGGTTAGGGGTTCAGAAGCCATGTGTCCCTTCCCTCTATGAGCTCATAGTGTAGGAGGGGCAGGAAGACAATCTATACACATGACTCTAACAGTTAAAAGTCACAGACAATGAAATGCACTCGAATTCTCTTTTATTTTTTAAATTAATTTATTTTATTAAAAAAATTTTTTTGAAACAGAGTCTCACTCTGTAGCCCAAGCTAGAGTGCAATGATGCCATCTCAGCTCACTGCAACTTCTGCCTCCAGGGATCAAGCAATTCTCAGCCTCCTGAGTAGCTGGGATTACAGATGCCCACCACCATGCTTGGCTGATTTTTTGTATTTTAGTAGAGACGGGGTCTCACCGTGTTGCCCAGGGTGGTCTCGAACTCCTGAGCTCAGGCAATCCACCTGCCTTGGCCTCTCAAAGGGCTGAGATGACAGGTGTGAGCCACCGCACCTGGCCTAATTCTCTTTTTATATGAAGACTCTGTCTGATCTTTAATATTTATTTCTCAGCCTTGTATAGTGAAGATGAGGAACTAGCAAAGTATTTCTGAACCTTCAGTCATTTGAGTGTCCCATTTATAATTTTTACCCTATTTGCATAAGACTATATACATTCAAATGATATTTCCCTTTAAATTGACTTTTTACCTAAATAAGTTTAGGTAAAAAAGAAACTATATTATCACCATGGTTGAAAAATCAGTATCGCTTGCTCTAACGAGAAAGTAAAAGTAAAAATAAACAATAATAAGAGCTAATATCGATTTAACACTGCATACCATGTCATGTCCTAAACACTTAATGTGGATTAACTCACTTCAGGCTCATAACAACCTGCTGAGGTAGGTGCTGTTATTATTCCCACTTTACAGAGGGGAAGGCTGAGGCTCAAAGAAGCAAAGTAACTCTCTGGAGTCACAGAAGTGATAAACTGAGGAGCTGGAATTGCAGAGTCCAAGCTGGTGATGAGCACAGTGGACTTCTCTTCTGTGGCCACCACCCTACTCTACAACAGAGTCTACAAATTATGGCCGTGGCCAGATCCAGCTTGCCGCCTGTTTTTGTGCTGTTCCCAAGCTAAGAAAGATGTTTTCATTTTTAAATGGTTGGGAAAAAAATCAAAGGAAGAATAGTATTTCATGATACGTGAAGAATATTTAAACTTTCAGTACCCATAAGTAAAGGTGTATTGCAACACAACCGCACTCATACTTTATGACATTTTGTCTATAAACTTTAGGACTTTTTGTCAATGGCTGCCTTTGCCTTTGATTGTGACAGAGACCATGTGGCATGCAGAGTCTGAAATCGTCTCTCTCTGGCCCTTTGTGGGAAGTATTTGCTGACTCCTGATCTATAAGGAAAATTCTAGCTGGGCAGCGTGGCCGCTGACCTAAGGCCTATTGTTTCAAAATGAAGTGTTAAAGAACTAGTAACGTCAAACAGAGACTCCTTCATCGATGTAATGGGAAAGATGAATTGAAAATTCTTTCTTGATAGGTGGATTTAAAGATTTTGTTACTCATTGCTGGGCTCTTGTACTCTTAGAAACATCTCATGGTGGGCTGGGTGTGGTGGCTCATGCCTATAATCCCAGCACTTTAGGAGGCTGAGGCTGGAGGATCACTTGAGCCCAGGAGCTCAAGACCAGCCTGGGCAATATAGCAAGAACTTGTCTCTACTGAAAATTGAAAGTTAGCTGAGCATGGTGGTGTGTGCCTGTAATCTCAGCTATGTGGGAGGCTGAGGCAGGATGATCACTTGAGGGCAGGTCAAGGCTGCAGTGAGCTATGACTGCACCACCACCACTGCACTCCAACCTTGGTAACAGAGTAAAATCTTGTTGTTTTTTTTTTTTTTTTGAGACATAGTCTTGCTCTGTTGTCAGGCTGGAGTGCAGTGGCACCATCTCAGCTCACTGCAGCAACCTCTGACTCCCTGGTTCTAGCAATTCTCCTGCCTCAGCCTACCAACTAGCTGGGATTACAGGCATGCGCCACCACACCCAGCTAATTTTTGTATTTTTAGTAGAGACAGGGTTTCACCTGTTGGCTAGGTTGATCTCAACCTCCTGACCTTGTGATCCGACCACCTCGGCCTCTCAAAGTGCTGGGATTACAGGTGTGAGCCACTGTGCCTGACCCTGTTTTATAAAAAACAAAACAAAACAAAACAAAATCTTACGGTTCTTGTTTTACGGAACCTTAGTTGCCCTAGGTAATGTCTAAAAACTGTTCCAGCTCAAACTGTCTATATTCCTGAGAGCTGGGTCACTATTTCTCCCAGCACAGTAAGATCCTGTAAATGGAGTACTTCAAGGGCCTGGCTAAAACCCTCTCCATCCTGCCTAGTGCTAAAGGGTTTATTTTCTTTCCTGGCTTCATTTAAACTGTGAGTTTCAGACTTTACTCTTCAATGTGGCCAGGAAATAACGCCGTGGGTGCAACAGTTGAATCTGCCCAGCTGTGGCATGTATTGAAATTCATCTTCATTACTGAAAATCTAATTTTGTTTCTCAAAATCTTCGCTGGAAATATTGAACTGGAGCAGAGAATTAAATTAGCTCAAGTTCAAATGTGGTTTGCTGTCATTCGAGCAAAATGAGTCTCTCTCCTGAATTTCTACAACTTCCTGTCCATTATTTTGGTAGACTTTCCTGAGGAAAGTGGTCATTTGCTGAAATCAAAACATAATAAAAATGGCCCCCATTTTCTAGGATCTTAAGCAGGTGGAACTGACTTTATTCAAATCCTGGAGCAAAGATGCGACACAGACTTCCGTTCTCTGAGCTGGCCACTGTGTTGGACAGGGGCACTGTCAGGAGTTACACTGGTTTCTTACCACAGTTTTATTTCCCCCTTATTGTTTTTCTTTCCTCCTCCTCCTTTCTTTTTCTTCTTTCTTCTGCTTCTGCTTCAAGAAAGCGTCTGTCTCTATCACCCAGGCTAGCTGGAGTACAGTGGCGTGATCACAGCTCACTGCAGCTGTGATCCTCCTGCTTCAGTCTCCCAAGTAGCTGGGACTACAGGCACACATCACCATGCCCAGCTAATTATTAACTTTTTGTGGAGACAGGGTCTCACTACATTGCCCAGGTTTGTCCTGGACTCCTGGGCTCAAGCAATCCTCCTGCCTTGGCCTTCCGAAACTCTGGGATTTTGAATGTGAGTCACTGCACCTGGCCTCCTCCTTGTCTTTTAAACAAGCACAAATTGAACTTAACATCTGCGCTGTCTGTTTCTCCTCACATGTACCCCAAGGCCCTGAAAAGTTGGCCTGCCCATCTCTCTAGCCACAGAAAAGTTTAGCAACTTGCTTAAGGTCACTCAGGAGGATATGTGAGAAGCTGGAATTTGAATACAGGTCTAGCTGACTCCTGAGCCTGGGCTCTCTGGACGTTGGAGCCCCTGGATCACTAATATGAGCATGGACAGGGCAGGGCTGCATGCCCACAGGTGTTAGTAAGTGACCTTATCCTTGCAGAGATGACCAGGGGACAGGATGAGGCACTGATGGCATCTGCTGCAGGGGCCGTGTTTCCCCTCCTTCTAACCTTCCAGGAGCTCCCTATCGCCTTCTGGGCAAAGTCTCAACTTCTGAGCGTGGCCAACAATGTCTGTCCTTCAGAAAGTCTTCCTCTCTACTGTCTCTGCAGGGGTTTGTACTTTTTTTTTTTTTTTTTTTTTGAGATGGAGTCTCACTCTGTTACCCGGGCTGGAGTGCAGTGGCATGATCTCAGCTCACTGCAACCTCTGCCTCCTGGGTTCAAGCAATTCTCCTGCCTCAGCCTCCTGAGCAGCTGGGATTACAGGCCCATGCCACCACACCCGGCTAATTTTTGTATTGTTAGTAGAGACGGGGGTTTCACCATGTTGGCCAGGCTGGTCTCAAATTCCTGACTTCAGGTGATCCACCTGCCTCGGTTTCCCAAAATGCTGGGATTACAGGCATAAGCCATGTTTTCTTAAAGAGTCTGAAAGAAATTTTCACCTTAGCAGGCCACCCACAGTCTCTGTTGCAACTTACACAACAATTCAGCTCTGCCCTTGCAGCAGGAAAGCAGCCCGAGGCAATATGTAAATAAAATGAATATGGGAGTGCTCCAAAAAATGTATTTACAAAAAAACAAGCATTGGCCGGATTTGGCTCAGAGCCTAGAGTTTGCTGATTCTTTTATGGCAGATGGGAACTGGACAGGTCAGTAGGAATGGGAGTATTATGAGGATGTTGCTAATAATTATTATAAATAATTATCAACAAACAAAATATCTTAAACATGCCCTGAGGAATGAGGAGAGCCCACCTGATCTCTGATTACACAACACATGCAGACGAAATCCAAATTCCTTTCCTGAGTATTGTGTCTTCTCTCTGAAAATCTCAAAGCAGCATTTGTACTAGATGAAATTTAATTTGAACCACAAAGAGATCTACCTTATACAACTAACTGCCTGGTTTAGCCCACGGTTAATTGAAGTCATTGGAGAATCATTTGAAAGTGGATTTTGTTCTCCTCCAATCTGGGGGCCAGACCCTATTCTTGTCATTGTAATCAAGTCCTGTGGTTCTCTTGCTTCGGAGAGCATCTGTCAGTAGTTGAGTGGATATTTAATTCCATTTGCCATTTGGGGTAATTTTCCTGAGAGCTGAGATCAGCCATTCTATCACCAAGGGTGATTGTCTTTAATTAAAGGTGTCAGTAAAAATAGTTTAGCCTGCCATCCAGAAAACCTCTTTGCTTTTCTTTATTGAAAGAATCCCAAATATGAATAGAAATTTTTGGGTTTTTCCTTGCCTTTAGTACCTGCTTCAAAATAATACTCTGCTTTCTAGAACAGATTTTGGAATGGGATAGATCCAGGTTTAAATTCAAATTTAGTTATTTGCCTATTATTTGGGTGTCTTGAGGATAATCCATTGTAGCCTCTCAAAGTTGCAGGTTCCTTACCTACAAAATGGGAATGTTGGTGCCTAACTCCTTCTCACTTACTCCATCTCCCCACCTCCATAATAAAGATAATCACAAACATTTATAGAATACGCCTATGGGGCAGGCACCTTGGAGAAAATGTTACAGTTATCATTTTGTTCAATTACCACACAACACTATGAGGATGAGATTATCTCCATTTTAAAGATGGGGAAACTGAGGCACAGAAAGGCAAAGGACCCCGTTAAAGTCACACGGTGAGTGAGTGTCAAAGCCAGGACCTGCAGAGGCTATGATGGGGGAGAGCACTTGGGGGAGATGGGAAGGAACCGTCGCAGGGACAGGTCTCACCCTCACTAGCGCTCACTCCATTACTTGCAGAATACATTGGGAGAAACACGCCACTTCTCTTGACCCATCTTTCTTCCACATGGTGAGCTTTTGGCTCCTCAGCTAATCGATATTTCTCTGTTTTGTTCACTTCCATGTGGCCGACATGGTGAGACTGGCCCTGGGGGTGCCTCATGCTTGGGGGTGCCTCCTAAACCTTGGAAGTCCCTACAGGGTCGGGGGAGGGCTCAGACAGAAGGAAACTAGGGCACGGGCTGCTCTAGACTTTATGGGAAAAGCAAAGGTGTTCTTGAGGGTCCCATGGTATATCAGTTAGGATACGTTTAGCTGCAAGTTACAATGTAATGAACTAACAGTGACCTAAGCAATCAGTAAAGGAGTTTGGAGGTGGGTTACTCCAGGGTTGGCTTGGTGGCTTCACTGTGTCACCAAAGACCAAGGCTCTTTCTGCCCCTCAGGCCCACCCTGCTGAATCTGTTGACTTTTCATCCTTAGGTTTGTGCCTTGGTCACAAAACGGCTGCCACAGCTCCGAGCATCCCATCCTTACACAACCTCATTCAAGGCAGAATATAGGAGAAGGTCTCATCCCTATGGCTACTTTTATCAGGAAGTGAAAACCTTCCAAGGAACAAAAACCTCACCACATCTCCTCTTAATGTCTCATTATGCAGAACTAGGCCATAAATCCTAAACCAATCAAACCAAGCTAAGGGGGGTAAAATTACCATGCTGCGGACCATCTACTGTCACTCTTTTGGGTTGGGTAGGGGAGGTGCTCACCTTCCCTGTACATGATGGGCCCTGCACAAAATCGAGGCCCTGTAATCTTAAGCAGGAAGAGGAGGGACTACATGTTGGGTGAGTAGGAACCACCTCTGCCACCAAGAGGGCCATCGTGATACGTGGATTAGAAGCAGATCAGTCAATTTCCTCCTCTTGCATGGACCTAAAATAAGATGCCCTGACTCCCTGGATTAGAGAGACCCCACCCAGGGAAAGAGACTGAAGTCCCAACTCATAGCTGAGTCCTCTAGGCTGCATATACTTCAGCGGACTGTGCCTCAGTTTCTCACCTGTAAAACTGGGATGATATAGTACCTGCCTCATAGAGTTGCTGCAAGGATTAAGCAAGCTAACTCACTTACAACGCGTAGAGCTGTGCTTAGCAGAAGATGCAAATAGTATGAATATCGTCCACTATGTTTATTGGGGCCAGGTGCTACCCAAGATAACTGACCATCTCATTTCATCTGGGACTGAGAAGGCTCCCAGGACATGAGACTTTCAGTGTTAAGGCCAGAACCATCTGAGGCCAACCAGGATGAGTTGGTTACTCCATTGGAAACACACAGGAGCGAAGTGGGGGTAGGGATTGAGGCAAACTGGGGAGCCTGTGCCCCAGTCATTTGGTTCCATCTGGTTGGTGCCATATTGTTGGCCCAGTATGTTCAGATCTGATTTTTCCAGGAGAAGCTTGACAGCTGGATTTTTATGTTAAATCTCTGAATTTTTACATATTTTTAATGTTATAAAACAAAACAACAAAACACTGCGTAGTCCAAACAAAACACCTTTGCCGGCCAGTGTGGGCCCTCGGGCTGCCATTTTACAACTTTTTCCTCGTTCTTCTCAGCCCCTCCCACTTACATAACGGATGGGATGTTTCTTGGTTTGGATACATACGTATTTCCTGTCTTCGTAGAGCGGCTCCCTCACTCAATCTTATTTGTTTCTGCAGGAAGTACGGGACGGAAATTAAAGGAGAAAATGGTTCCACAGGTTTGGTGGCTACAAAAAGATTTCCTTGATAAACACTGCCCCCAATCACTTATCTGTGAAAGCTGCATGATGTGAAATTAAACTTGGGCAGAGTTGCGGTGGGTGATTATGTCTTAGTGGCTTAGGGAAATGAAAGCCATTCATCTCAGGCAAATGTGACAGGCAGGACCATTGGCCTTCCGTCACCTCTGGGCTGCCTTCCCATGGCGGTGGTCTATGCAGGCCTTACGTTTGTGCAGCAAATTTGTAAAGAACCAATCAGTGGCCTTCATGTCAGGCAACCTAGGAAGGTTTTGGAAGTGGGACTATTTGCCTCACTGTTGATGAGTATTAGGTATCCCTCTAGGAAGGTTCAAGAGCCCATACAAGCCAGGCGTGGTGTAATCACGCCTGTAATCCCAGCACTTTGGGAGGTTGAGGTGGGCAGATCACTTGAGGTTAGGAGTTCAAGACCAGCCTGGACAATATAGCAAGACCCCGTCTCTATTAAAAATACAAAAATTAGCTATGTATGGTGGTGGATGCCTGTAGTCCCAGCTACATGGGAGGCTGAGGCAGGAGAATCTCTTGAACTGGGGAGGTGGAGGTTGCAGTAGAGCCAAGATTGCACCACTGCACTCACTGCCTGGCAGCAGAGTGAGACTGTCTCACAACACACACACACACACAGAGGAAAAAGAAAACAGAGCCCATAGAAAACGTCTTGTGAATGCTTAAACGCACGTGGCTCCTTTTACAAACTTCTTTCCACTTCTCTTGAGTACCATGTGAAAGTTCTCACTGCCCCCACCTGCTTCTCACCTTCTCCTTCAGACTCTCACATCCGTCTCTTTCAGTCTCAAGAGGTGCTAGAAAAAATGTTGGATTCCTTAAAGGAGTGTTTATACTGGAAACAAGCATCATTAGGAAATGGCTGGTCCTGACCCCAAGGAACTTATCTCTGGCGGAGGTCGGGCAGGCTGGTGCCCGTCTGCTCCTGACTGACCCTCATTCCTTCCTGGTTGGGTGGTAGGAACTAAATGGCCAGGCCCCTTGGTGTGGGTTTCTGGCTTCCTAGGTTCCCTGGGGTCACATCTTTTGTTCTCATCATCATCTGTCTGTTCCCAGTGAAGAAGAACTGCTTCAGGGCACTGTTCCTCAAATTTCACTTCTTTGCACACAACCTTCATGGTTTTTGCTCCAGTTGTGTACAATTAAAGCGACTATTAACTTAATATTTTTGTTGACATAAACTCTCAAAAGTTTACTTAAGCTTATGTCACTAAGGTAAATGGAAAGCCAATATCATGCTCTATAAATAGACTTTACAAGTAAACAGAAATACAGTGAAAATCATGTTATTGTCTACTAGCTAATACTTTTGCCTAAGAAGGCTTTTAACCTGAGACCTGCCCGTCTTTTGTTAAGAAGGATGATGGACATGTGTTGGAGAAGGGTTAAGGACCTCCTAGCACCATCCTGAGCCTTTCTCCTTGATTTAGTTGAATGGACTGAAGGAGGATAGAAAAAGAGTTACTTACTCTGGGATTCAATGCTGTTTCAAGTGGTGGCCCCTCTACCATGCAAAGTCACCTGGGTTCCCAAGCTTTGGGAAACACCATTCCAGCACATACTGTATCTTCAGATCCCACTCGTTCTGGCCTGGAGATCCTCTATAGGGGGTCCCCAAATTGGGTCCTCCTTGAATTAAGAATTCCAGGTCTTGGGCAATTATTAGTGCTGGAGCCATTGTTGCTTAGGGTATATTTTCCCAGTAGATGTTGGCCTTAGATTTAAATTAAAACTCCAGGATGGGGTCCAGAAATGAGCTCATATCAGTCTTCTCCTGGGGGGTCTTATGAGTGTTAAGGTCTGTGGGACCTCTCATCCCCACCTTAGCTTCTTGTCAGCTCCATGGGGACTTTGAAGGAAGAGGATGGTCTTCCCAACCCCCACAGCATCCTCCACGGACACAGCAAGGAACTCTGAAGGGTATGCATTCACTGAACACATATTAAGTGTGTGCCAAGTGACAGACACTGTGACAGCTATGGTGGGGCTGGGGGCAGGGGTCCTAGAAAGAGGAGGAGAGCATGGATGCAAAGCTCAACCCTGACTTTGAGGCGATTGTTTTTTAAGGCTGTTTTTAACACTTGAAGGTACACGTCTACCTCCAAAAACTTTTCATAAACAAATGGGAAGGTTTTGCTTTCAGCAATGGCAGCTAACTTGTTTTAGACAAATCCTCCTTCTGAGAACAACTAGAAAGTCTGGGCATAAAAAAGAAGATCTGATTTAAGGCTTTGGAAAACTACCAAAGGCAACCAGGATTCAAGGGGCCAAGACCCCAGAAGGAAAATAAACCCTTAACGCTCAGTCTGATATTTCAAACCACTTTTCCCCCTAAGGCATTCATTGATTTGAAGGCAGATTTATGGAGCTGGGGCAACAAATACGGGCATTCAGAGCCAGCCACAGAAGGAGGGCCCTGGTCAACACCCTAGGATTGATTTAGGACCCCGGAGAGCTGCCGCTTAGAAGTAAGGGAGAACTAGGAACAGACCATCCTTCAGAAGGACTGAAGCTCGGCTCTGAGCCATTAAAATCCGTGATTGAATCAGGTTCATCTTTTCCTAACCCAGTTGCCTGTTAGAAGCAAAATACATCCTCTTTGGAAAGAGACTGGAAGTTTTTTCCATCCCTCCTCATATCTCACTGCTCTGTATTTTATTCCAGCCACTGTTGCCACAACTAACTTTGTGCAGGTGTAACTCTGCATCACCTGCCTCAGCCTTTGCTGTCTCTAACTTCCCATGTCAGGGCTACTCTGATGCCTCTGGCCATGGGAATCTACCTTTCGATCATGTACATGCATCCTGGAAGTGAAGCAGAATTAACCACCCATAAGCAACCCTTGATCAATGGGGAATGCGAGTTGGGGAATAAGTGCTTCTTCATTCTTTAGGCAGGACATTTTGAGATGCAATTAGATTTTTGTTGTGTTTGTTTAGGAGGTCTTAGTTTGGATCAATCCTCAGTTACCCCCAGTAATGACCAATTCAAGTGTGTACCCATGAATTGGCTTTCTCTCTTTCCCTGTCATATTCTTCTCAGAATCCCACTCCTGTGCGCTTGGATTACTAACAAAATTAACTACCTGCACACAAATCAAGGTCTCAGGTTCTCCTTTCTGGGGGAATCCAGGCTAAGACAAATACAATGTAGGGGGTTAAAATATTCTACACTTTAAATATACAAGGTCTAGCATACAATTACAAAAATCCTGGAAAGACAAAAAGGCAAGATTAGAACAAAAACCAAGAAAAATACAGTCAACAGAAATAGGACTATAGGGAATTCAGATATTGGCATTGTCTGACAGGGACTTTAAAATAATAATTATTAAAATGTTCAAAGCACTAGGTGACAAGATGAGAATTTTGGTGGAGAATAACAAACTGTAGAAGAGAATCAAATAAAATTCCTACAACTGAGAAATGCTTGAAAATGAGAGCTCAGTGGATGTGTTTTTGATAGTAGATTAGATGCAGCTGAAAAATTAGTAATCTGAAAAATAAATCAGAAGAACATATGTAAATGAAGCAAAGAGAGACAAAAGGTGGAAAATGAAAGAACATGAGACACACAATATAAGGTGCAACAGTCTAAAACATGGAATTGGAATCACAGAGGAGAGGACAGAGCGAATATGGAAGAAATACAATTAAAGACATTCGCTGAGAATTATTCAAAAATGATAAAAGACATTCATCCATATATTAAAGGATCTTTAAGAACCCTATGCAGCAAATGCAAAGAAAATCATCCCTAGTCACATCATAGTCAAACTGCTTAAAGGTAAAGACAAAGAGAAAAACTTATAAAGCATCCAGAAATTAGATATGTTACTTTCAAAGAGACAAAGATAACAGCTAAAAATAATGGAAGCCAAAAGGCAATAAAATGATAGCTTCAAAGTGCAGGAAAAAAACCTGTCAACTTAGATTCTCTATCCAGAATACTACTTTTAAAAATGAAGGAGAAATGGAGACATTCTTTGACAAAAGCCAAGATAATTTTTCACCAGAAGATTAACACTAAAGAAAATAATAAATAGTATTTTCCAGGTAGAAAAGTGATCCTCAATGGCAATTTAGGAATTCAGGATGAAATAAAGAACAATGCAGAGGGTAAATAAATGGATAGATCTAAATGAACACTGATTGCATAAATTAATATGTTTATCTTTTTATATGATAGGTTTATAATGATAATGCATTTATTATTGTAGTATGTTTATAATTATTACATTAAGATAATATACAGTTGACTCTTAAACAACACTGGGGTTAGTGGTGGTGACCTGCTGCACAGTTAAAAATCCATGTATAACTTTTTATTGATTAATTTTTAACCAAAATTTTTTTAATTTAAGAGATAGATTTTTACCATGTTGCCCAGGCTGGTCTCAAACTCATGGGCTCAAGCAATCCACCCGCCTCAGCCTCCAAAAGTGCTGGGATTACAGGTATGAGCTACTGCACCTGGCCAAAAATCCATGTATAACTTTTGATTCCTCAAAAACTTAACTACTAATAGCCTATTGCTGATCAGAAGCCTTACTGAAAACATAAATAGTTGGTTAACACATATTTTACAAGTTACATGGATTATATGCCATATTCTTATAATCAAGTAAGCTAGGGAAAAGAAAATGTTATTAAGAAAATCATAAGGAAGAGAAAATATATTTACTATTTGTTAAGTGGTGTGTGGGTCATCATAAAGGTCTTCATCCTTGCCGTCTTCACACTGAGTAGGCTGAGGAGCAAGAGGAAGAGGAGGGGTTGGTCTTGCTCTCTCAGCAGTGGCAGAAGTGAAAGAAAATCTATGTATAAGTAGACCTATGCAGTTCAAACGCACGTTGTTCAAGAGTCAACTGTACATAGAATTGAAACACATGACAATAAAAACATTTAAATTAGGAGGTAGTAAATGGAGTTAAAGTGTTCCAAGGACCTTTTGTTTTCTGGCAAATGGTAAAGCACACACACATGCACATATATATGCATGTGTATGTGTGTGTGTGTGTGTATATATATA